GACCGTGTATCCCCACAGAAGATGGCCCCGACGTGCCTGCGGCCCCTGCTGAGGTACCAGTCCTTCGCCATCCTCTTCCTCACACCGCTGCTGCTGCTGCCGCTGCCGGTCGCTGTGCCGACGCGGGTAAGTGCCTGCGGGGCCCACGCGGGGAACAGAGCCCCCCAGGTCCGGCCCCTGCTATCCCCACAGGAGCCCACCCCTCTGCCCCCCAGGTCTGGCTTCTGCTGCCTGAAAGGAGCCTGCCCTCCTGGCAGGCTTAAATGTGCTTAAATGTGTCTTCCATTATGTTGCAGGAGGCCAAATGTGCATATATCATAATCATCATGGCTGTGTACTGGTGCACTGAAGTGATCCCACTGGCTGTTACCTCCCTCATGCCTGTGGTATTTTTCCCTCTGCTTGGAGTTCGGAGCTCTAAATCAGTAAGGAACTTGCTCAATCCATATCTGATACAGGGATATCCATTGCTCTGATCCCCTATCAATATTTAGCAAACAAATCTGATAGGAAAGCGCTCCAGTTCCGTGGTGCTGTTTTTGAACATGTTGAGCAATGTTCAGGGTTCCTGTATGGGAAGGTGCTGAACTAAATACACATTTGCCCAAAATGTTCAGGGTGTGGGGCTTGAGGTGGTAGAGGGGAAGGTCTGTTTCTGGGCATGGATCCTGCTGAGGAGCATCCCACTAGTGTCAGCAGCTTGTGTGTTCATAACCCAACCCATGAGAGAGCAGTGCTGATATATCCTCTGAGAGATTTCAAAATGCATGGGACAAACTTCTTCTGACAGGGTAGACAGCATGATGCCAGCAAGTACACTGTGTCCCCTCCAAATCTCATTCTGGCTGTTTGTGCTAGTGCTTTAGTCCACGGGCGAGTGGCTGTAGTTAGGTGCTGTAGCCCAGGTTCACTACTGGCCAACAAGCTGGTAAGAGTAGGTGTGGTTGCTGAAGGTGCTGAGAAATCCATTTTGGAGCTCAGCATTTCTAGTACCTACACAATAACTTTGAGCCCCTAAAAATGTTTTAGGAAACTGCTGTCATTTTGTACTTTATTAACTCCTGATGATCCAAAAAGAAGGTTCATGATGCACAAAGAGCCCCTGCACTGGACATTTCAGCATTTAATCAGGGGATCAGGGGTTCAGGAAACTGGAGGTAGCTCTGAGACTGCAACTGCCCCTTCTGCCAATATTGGGATGGGGCCTGGTGCAGTAAATGGCTTTGGGGGATGGAAGGCAAAATGTACTAGTGAAGCTAGCAAGAGGCAACATTTGGGCCCCTGACCTACCTTCTCTGTCTTTCAGGTGTGCTTGCAGTACCTAAATGACACAAACATGCTCTTTGTTGGAGGGCTGATTGTTGCAATTTCTATTGAACAGTGGAATCTTCACAAAAGGATTGCGCTGAGGGTCCTGCTGATTCTTGGGGTGAAACCTGCACTGTAAGAGTATTACATTGCTTCTTCCTTGCCTGTGTCAATTTAGCAGAGGCCTAGGGATGACTGTTAAAGTCAGCAGAGAAGGAAACCTCCAAGAACCTCTTTAGCTGCACTTGTGCAGAGTTTCCAGAGGTGAAGTCTGGCAGCAGGAACAGTTTATTGGTCCTTTAGCCAAAAACAGCATCTGGCTAAATTCTAGGTGCTTGCCATTGGGGACAAAATGATGACAGACTTAATCATGTGCAGACTAAGGAGCTAAATGGCTTTGTGGGATTCCTTCAGTGAAGGTGGCAGAGCTGTCCTAGAAGGGAATCTGTCTCTGCTTTGTATTACTGCACGTTACACACATCCCTGTCTGGGCTCTACTCTCCTGAATTACAGTGACTAGAAAGCCTAGCAGCGTCTATTTTCTTTCCTTCTTTCTCCTCTGCCTGTTTCTCTCTTTTCAGCCTCATGCTGGGATTTATGATAGTCACTGCCTTCCTGTCCATGTGGATAAGTAACACAGCCACCACTGCTATGATGGTTCCCATTGTCCATGCTGTCCTGGATCAAATGGACAACACAGAGCATGATGTGACCATGATGGAACAAGCAACTGGGCAAACAAATACAGTGATTGAGCTGGAGGAAAAGAATGCATCAGATCCCACTTCAGTGCATGGTAAGGGCCTACTCAGCAGTGAGTTGATTCTACTGAACTTGCTATGCTCAGAGCTCCCTGAGCTAGAAGGAGTTCTCTGTACCTTTTCCAAGGAAAGAGGATGGTAACCTAACTGAAAATCCCTAAATGCATGACATTTCGATTTTACAAAATGGCTTCCAATTTTGGTGGCTGCCATTTTGTTATGCTTAGTGCTAGATCCCATGCAGATTGTTATGTTCTTTCCTTCAAGCTGGGGTTATCCTCCCATAGTTTCCCTAGACTTAACTGCCTGCTCAGGGAAGTGAAAAGCATATCCTGTGGGAAATATCATTCAACCCCCAAGCATCCCACTTTCTAAATCTTGTGATTATCAGTGGGGATGCAGCTTCTAAGCCATGTAGGAATGTTCAAAATGTTTTGTGCAAACGCCTATTTTGGTTCTGGGGTAATAAATACCTCTTTATTGACCAGATTGTATGTGGAGGTGGGGAGAAGAAAGAGGAATACTTTAAAAGCTGCATGGAAAAGAGGAACTGGTGGCATTTGACTCACAGTAGACAAATTACTCTTTGGAACACTTTAGAGCATGATCTTACCCTGATTCTTGACTCCACAAGGTCCTTCTGTCAATTCTGTGGTTCTGCAGTAGGTTTCACTTGATTTGAACCTTGCGCACAAACTCAGTCCCTCTGATTTCACTGCTCTGCTGTGCTGTTACAGAGGGCTATATTATTAAATACCATTAAAGATCAGATCTCTGGTGCCTTTCTCTTTCAGAGGAGGAAGGATTGTCTTGGGAATTTTCATGGAGATGTGATTTCACTGAATTAGCAAGTTGATTTGCCACGATTCCCTGTGTGACGGTGTGCAAGAATGAGTGCAAATGTTGGTAGTGCATACTGTGTCCCACATTTCAACCTTCTGCCTGGGACACACCATGCCCATTTTCTGGCTCGCATGTCCATGGAAGACACAGTGTAGAAGAAGGGTATTTATGTGTGCCACACAATGCTCTGCTATGAGATTGACTCATAACTGCCATATTTGTTTGGACTTGGAGGCATAGTTTAGATACAACTGTGATCTCTGCTTTTTGGTTGCTTCATTTCTTACCTCACTTGTGAAGGGAGAATGCACTATGATTGTGCAAAGCTCAGACACCATGTTTATATAAGATGTGCAAGCCCACAAGAATGCCACTTGGTCACAGAGTACTCTGTAAAGTTGCTCATTTCTAGCTTCCAAACAGTTGTATTAAAGATAAGTTTTCATATTTGTAAATGCTCTTTTTAATGTTGATTCTTGACTCCCAAAACCGGACTTCTCCTCTAAGACGAGTAATAATTTTGCTGGTTTTCTGTCCACTTAGAAGGACCTGCTTGGCTTTGCTGACTAATTTATTTTAACGTGCAGTGAAGGTAATAAATGTGTGCAAAAAATACCCTTTGGTATTGTTGAGTTGGTTGTAATTACCATAAATTCATTGTCCTGCTCCATTAGTCCAGTCAGACTTCAAGATTAGACTGTTATCCTCAGAGAACAATGGACACAGCAGCAAAATTTCATGGTTGATGTAAACTGACATAACATATTGGTCTTAACAGTTACGCCAGGCAAGAATTTGGTTTTGGGTGGGTTTTTTTCTGCCCATATTCACAGCTGTTAAAGCTAGTTGGGTTCTTACTGTGGTATTGGAATGGTTCCAGTGACTACAATATCTGGCTGGTGGTAAGCCTCTCTGTGAAACAGGAAATTACTGCTGAGAAACTGTGGCACTGATATGGACAACAGCATCCTTGGATCATGTAGACCCAGATTGTCAGCCGCTCTCTTCAGCTCCTCATGAACATGAGTCCAAAGTATTTAGGGACATACCTTTTTTGAATTAAAATAAATGGCATGCACAAACTGGAAGCACTGAGCCTGCAGACCCTGTCCTGAACTCTCTGCCTCCCTAACTTTACCTGAGGCAAGTCGTGTTCTTTGTGTCTAGTTATAAGCAATGGACAAGTCCCTGATGACCCCAGATCTTCTGAAGAACAGAAAATGAGGAAGCATATATGTAAGGGAATGACACTTTGTGTGTGCTATGCTGCCAGCATTGGAGGAACTGCAACACTCACTGGAACAGGACCGAACATGGTATTGAAAGGCCAGATGAATCAGTAAGTCATTCTTGCCATTTCTTTTACTTAACTATCTTACTGTTTCTGTGACCAACTGACTAGTCTTAGATGACAGTTTCAGTTGCAAACTATGAGCAATAACCAGTTGATGAACTGAGAGTGAGGAATGTGTATGATGTGATGGGCCTTATTTTTCTGCTTCAGCCTTTTTTAGGCAGCTATGTGCTGGTATTATAGGTCTCCTGAGAAACTTGGAAATACTTGCTGGTAATCAGCAGAGGAATGAATGGGGAGGAAGAAAGAACGTTCTGTCTTGGGGTAAATGAGCAGGCATGTTGGAAGTGAAAGGTACCTAGAATGTGTGGGAGATCTTTCAGCAGCGCTTGTCTTACTGAGACCTAAAATAACAACATGATCTCCTATATGCATTAAAGTAAAATACAGGGAAAACCAAAGATCATTTAAGTTCTGCTCTGAAATCCAGGCTGCCTTCCTATTGACTTCAGTTAGGCTATGGATGTTGCCTATGATTACTTCTAATCATTGTCCTAGATTTACATGTATAAGTGTCACTAGCCCATATTAAAGGGAGAGTGGATCACTAAATGTTTTGACATTCATACAGAAAGCATTTTTCTTTTCTTTTCAGGTTATACCCCAACAGTAATGATATTGTGAATTTTGCTTCCTGGTTTGGGTTTGCATTCCCAAACATGATTCTGATGTTGGTACTAGCTTGGCTTTGGCTACAGTGCTCCTTCATGGGACTCAAGTGAGTATTTAACTACATGATATTGTGTAAACCCCTGAGCTACTGCAGATCAGCTTACTGAGAGATCTGGATAAAAAAATGCACTGACAAGTTATTAATTTTGTAGCAGAGAGCAGTTCCATTTCACAGCAGCTTTTGAGGTCTGGAAACCTTTTGTGTTCATGGGAGTTGCACTAAGGCAAAAGCTTTATACATTTTTAATGTTCAGACAGAATTGCCTATTTATTTTTCAATTTCATATCTGAAAATTTCAACCCTAGGAGAGCTAGCATATCTGTTTTGCTGCCTTTGGTTCAAAACTGAATTTTTCATCCCAGGTTGCTCCAAATTGGGCAGAGACTTACATCCATTCATACACCCCATTCTTCTGTGAGAACTGGCATGTCCCCATGAAATACTTTGACACTGTTTTCATTTCTTTGTTCCTGGCCTCTGCTGTAGCCTGTGTCTGTCCCCAGGAGTGACAGCTTCAGTGGCAAGCACGTTAAATCCCTCTAGTATGTTAATACTTACAGTATTTTCTTCTCCCTTTTTCTTAAAGCTTAAAAAAAAGCTGGGGCTGTGGGACGGAGAGAACTGCTAAAGAAAAAGCTGCATACAGCGTGCTGAAGGCAGAAATGAAGAAATTAGGCCCTATCTCTTATGCTGAATTCAATGTTCTCCTAATGTTTGTTTTGCTGGTTCTCTTGTGGTTTTCCAGACACCCAGGCTTTGTAAAAGGCTGGGCCGCCATGCTCTTCCCTGGAGGAGAAAAGTAAGTTTTTAGAGTTTTTTTCATCCTGTACCCTCTTGGTTGTGAATCAGATTCCCTCGCTCTTACATTTCATTTTGAGTGTGGGGTCATTCATTCCAACCTTATCTGAATTCACGTTTGCTGGGCTTGATCCTATTGCTTGTGCACGAGATCACCAGTTGATCTATTGTTTGACAATTTGTACTGCAATGAACATGCAGCAAGTTGAACCTCCTAAAGGAAGAGAAAATTCTGTAATGCTGGTCTCAGTCACACTGATGTACACGTTAGTATTTTGTTTGTATGAGCTCCAATCAGTTGTGGTGTCATTTGAATATTTAGTAATATCACCTCTAAACCATAGCTTAGAACTCACTGGGAAATTGATTTGGTGCTTTGAACGGCTTCTTCACATAATGTCTATGGCATATTAAGAACATAAAATGCACGATGGGACTGTCATTCAGGCCATTTCTTTACACATCTTGCTTTGAGATACAACTGTTGAATCTTGGCTTCACCACAGAGATGGAACCCTGCTCCCAGAAGCCATTGTCATCTGTGACTTTGCTTATTAATGTGTATTGTAGCTAGTTTCTTTTATTACTGTGTTTGTGTTGTGGCAGGTCTGAGAGACCTCAGTCATGAGCTCATGACCAATTTTGCTAATGTACAAGCCCCAAACAGGATGATAAAGGGCAATGACTGCAATGCTGGAAGGCAGCCATCTTCTAGGAGAAAGATGTCTATTTTCTGAGCTATGTTCTCTTTTCTTCTTTAGGTATATCACTGATTCTGCTCCTGCTGTGTTTGTTGCACTGCTACTGTTTATCCTTCCTGCTAATAAACCCAAATTCATAGGCTGGAATCCAAGCACATCTGACCCTGAACAGACTGAAGAAGGTATTTAAAAGAGGAATTGTAACATTGTGAAACACTTAGCCAGCTCCAGTTAACATGACAGAAACATGCTGGATTTGCATGCAGTTCTTCAGGGTAGCTCACATCCCTCTCTTCTTGGGCAGGGCTGGGGCACGGTCCCTGCTCATGTGTATTACCCTTACCCTGTGCAGGTTTCTCAGTAATACGCATCTGCGTGTCGGGTCATTCCCTAGTACCTTATAGAACAGGAGACAAAATGTCTTCACTCTCCTAAAACATGTTCTGCTTTTCATTTCTCACTTCAGATATAAAAAAGCCATTTTTATCAGCCCCGCTGCTAGACTGGAATGTGGTTCAGAGGAAGATGCCCTGGAGCATTGTGCTGCTGCTGGGAGGAGGTTTTGCTTTGGCTGATGCAAGCGCAGTATGTCCTGACATCTGTTTTTCTCTGACTCAAAGGCGAACTTCCCTGGTTTGTTATCTAGTCCTGTATTACTGGGCATGCACCCAAAGCCAAACCCAGTAAAGATGTTCAGATCTGGAGGCAGATCCAAATTAGCAAAAACTGGGAGGAGAGGTGAATGTTTGTGCCTCTTTTTCAGGAATTTGTGTGCTCTGACCAAGTTTCTTCAATTTATCTTATTTCTTGGAGGCTGCCGAGTTTGGAATCTTCACTGGCTGGACGGACCAGAAAAGCAGCCCTTCTTATTTCTGTTATCATGCTGATCCCAGCCCTGGCTATAAAAATATAAGTATAGGTCATAGAATCATAGAATCATAGAATGGTTTGGGTTGGAAGGGACCTTAAAGATCATCTAGTTCCAATCCCCTCGCCATGGGCAGGGACACCTTCCACAACACTTGTAGATAACACTTAATTCTCAGAACCATTTGAGATTTGTTTAAAGGATATATATCTTCAGATTTAAACCAAACCACTACTGAAGTGGTCAGAAAGAAAATCCTTGTGGGTAGATATCTTCCACAATTATGTACAATGGGGTTTCTTGAACTTCTTGTCAGTGGCTGTTGCCAGGCAATATGCTGCATTCCATAAGCCCATGGTTTGATCCTATGTTCATAAATTCACAGAAAAGGCAGCTGAATTCCCAAAACAGGAAAGAATCTTGAGGTGAACCATATTGTTTCCTTCATCACTGCTCAGATGCATCTAAATCAAAGCAAGCCTTAGCTATCAACAGTGCCATGCATTGGGGAAATTCATATTCAGATCTAAGTTTTGTGGCTAGGTAGTTTTAAACCATGGGGCAAATTAAAGCTCTAGGGCCTTACATTCATCTACATACATCATACATATATTATTAAAGCTCCAGAGCATTAGAAGCCATCAAGTCACAGGTTTTGTAAGCTGTTTGAGTCAATCACTGCCTATGTTCCTACAATAGAGCATTCATACAGCATCAGTATCTTCAGAAATCTTAGAAAAACATGCCAGGAAACTTCTGAGTGATACATTGAGTATTTGCAGTAGTCTCAGCAATAATTGTTTCGTTTAGCAAAAAAACATAGTTTTTGTAACCAAAGTGTGAACAAGTATTTGGGTTCCAGAAAAATCAGGAAAGTGGGACTCAGTGTTATATCTAGTTGGCAAGGAATTTCTTTTAGTATTTGTGACAGATCATTGTACTTTCCTGGATGGTGTTTATATAATTCAGGAGTCATCTAGCATTATTTGGTAGGAATGTTACATATAACATGACTTCCCTGTTCATGAGCTAGGGGTTCTAAGCCTCACTGAAAACCACTTTTTTTTTTTTGTCAGAACTCTGGGCTCTCAGCTTGGCTGGGTCATCAAATGACTCCACTAGGATCTATCCCACCATGGGCCATTGCAGCAGTACTTTCGCTTATTATATCTGTCTTCACTGAATGCACCAGTAATGTTGCCACAGCCACCCTCTTCCTACCTGTCTTTTCATCCATGGTAAGATTACTTCCATCCTGTTACCCTATCAACTGGGAGATTAGAGTTAAACTGACAGTCTCTAGTGGCAAAGCAATACTGTATTTATTGTCTTAATGTTGCTCCAGTGATAATCTGAAAGCCAGTTATGAAACAGTCCATCTGTCAGTAATCCATAATGGATAGTGATTTTAGCTGGTGTTCAGTGCTATGTTTATAGCATTGTATGTAGATAGGAAGTGGGAATGCAAGCTTTCTCCAATCTGCCCTACCTATATGCCTGAACCCTGAGAACCAGCTTCTTGGGGGAAGAAGCTAATTCAGGATGCCTGTTCCATGGCACCCTCACTGAAAAGGAAGCCAGTTCAAGTCTTCTGTAAGGTATGTCCCTTGGCCCTGGAGAAAGTGAAGTGAGAGTCACTTTTTTAATACAGATCAACAAACCTCAGTTACTTCTGGTCATTTTGTATTTGAACCACGAACTCAGAACTGGAAAAACACACACACACAAAATGCAAACCAAAACAAAATCCAGCACTTTCTGTTCATCCCTTTGAATGGTTCCTTCACCTTCATGGTTTTATGCTATAATACAGAAAGTGGTAGGTCTGATTATTAGAAATATGTCATTTTCCATAGGCAGCCAGAACAATTTTAAAACTTCCGGAGGAAAACCTGGTAAGTTTTGCTGCCTTTTCTGAGCAGAATTGAAATTGTAGCATAAAGGAAAAAATAGGTTATTTTGTTCTTTAATTTGGAAAGTATAACTGCTTTTTTCTAGACCATTTCATCAAAATAAAATTATCCCAATAAAGGTGCTGAGCCATTAGTGACTTAAATTGGCACTTAAGTTCTGAGTCCCACACAGTTTATGTTAACGTCTAAGAGTGTTACTCCACATGCCTAGTAATTATAATCCCATCCCTGTGTTACCCTGGCAAAAGTGTGGTCTGAGATCAAAGAAAAAATCGTTGGATAAATTTGACCAGAACTCCAAATTATACCATAGAGCAAAACAAACAACAAGAAAGAATCAAGCATTGTTTTTAAGTATTGTGGGACAGGAAATGAGAGCAAAGTTATCTTTAAACACATGTGGATTTCAGAATAAAATGCTTGTAAATTACTCTGGTGATACAATACCAGGAAACGAAATGAGCTTGCGTGTCTCAGTGGTCTGGGAAATGTTCTTTATGCTTTTCTTTTGGAACACCTCCAGTGTGATATTCTCTCCATTTCATTGCAGGCTGCATCTATCAAGATCCATCCTTTGTATGTTATGCTGCCTGGTACTCTCAGTGCTTCTTTTGCCTTCATGCTACCTGTTGCAACACCGCCAAATGCGATAGTATTTTCCTATGGCCACATCCGTGTTTTGGATATGGTAAGGTGATAATTGCGTGGTTTCTTATCTGAAGCTCTCCATTGCCTTTATCCTGAAATACGATGAGAGTTTAATTTTCTTAGCCAAGTATTTCCAAAGTACCAAGGAAGCTCTTATGGGCTGTAACTACCACCCTATGCCCCTCACTTATGCAATGTTAATATTGCAATAAAGAATTGCATCTCTGAAGTAACAGTACCTTTCTCACAGGCTTTGGCAGACATACATCCCAGCCCAATTGAAATTAAAAACTGACAAGTCATAAGTCTCTTAAACACTGAAGGGTTAAAATGCAGTCAGTGCTTTCCAGTCTTCTGGGGCTTTGGCACGTGTAGCTGAAGTCTTGTTTCCACTGGAGCTGAAAGCAGAAGGTAACAATCAGTTGCCCTAGGCTCTGGTCCTCTGATTGCGTGCCAGACCACACAGTGCCAGATTCTGTGCCGAACACCCAAACATTATCGGTTTTCTAACTGGAGACTTGAAGGGGGCAGAAGCTGTTCTTTAACTAATAAGAGCAACTTGTTGTACATGCCTTAAAGCTCCTAGACTAGTTATATAGCAAAGTGTTCAAAGGCTTTGCACAGTGTGTTCCCTGGTATTTCCACCTAAGCAAGAACATAGGGCAGTGGGTACAATGGCTATGTCATGATTTATTTGACCTTGTGTCTTTCTAGTCTATGTACAAATAGGCCTTGCTGCAATTTGCTGTGCTGGTATTTGGTTATTGTTGTTGGTTTGGACTTTTGTCCTCACAGGTTAGATCTGGAATAGTGATGAACATCATTGGAGTCTTCTGTGTCACACTGGCCATCAACACATGGGGAAGACCTATGTTTGAGCTGGACACATTCCCAACCTGGGCAAACAGCACAACTAACCAGTGAGCAGTGAAGAATTCATGTGTTAAACAAGGAAAGGACCCTTAATGCTACTCCCTATTGCCCGAAGCCCTATATAAAGTCTCATTACCACTTCAAATCGAGTGTCAGGTGTTTGCTACCTTTCGGGAGTCACACATCAGTTCAGGCATGAACCAACTCAAATTTATTCCAGTCGTGCTGGAGCCAAAAGTGCTGTTTAATTACACAACCCTAAGGATCATGTTCTGGATCGTAAGTATGATCAAGAGATCCGTTGTACCTCCAATGAAGGTCGAGATTTAGAATTTATCGAACTTTAAATAAAGAGAGGGCAGGCTGTGGTATCAAATTATTTGAACTATTGTATCACTGGTATGTACTTGTAAATCATTAGCATTGAACACTGCACTCAGGCAGGGGCTGAAAATTCATTAACTATTACTTATATCCACAAGTCAGCAGTTGTACAGAGAAATCCTTGTTGACACTTGTCTAGTAAAAGAAGGGGTATGTTGTTATGTTATGTTATGTTATGTTATGTTATGTTATGTTATGTTATGTTATGTTTTAATCAGGCCTCAGCCATGTGGTGGAATCCTTCCAAGTCAACATCCAACACATTTTCCATTGCCTTATTTTCACTCCCAAATCTCACTGCATTTAGACACCCTTATTAAGGGTTGAGATAACATAATTCCGTGCTGGTCGTGATTCAGCTGATATCTTAGTCAATGATGAGTTAAGGCTGACTTTGTGTTTCTTCCATTGTGGCACTGGTAGGGCCAGGAGCCTTTCCATCTCTCGACGACAGGATGTGGTTTCACGTGCCAACCAGTGTTGTGTTAGTGCCAGCCTGGAAATGGCCGGTGGCCTATAGGACTTCACACCTATTGTGAAAGTTCCTGGATTAGCCCCTGATGTGCCTTATTAATTAACTCTGGAATTTTGGAATGGAGACAAGGCATGAGAAAGGCTGTAGTTGAAGGCCTTGGAAAAATTTAGGGGCCCAGATATTAGGGCTTGTTCTGGCTGACAGCAATGGGAATTGTCTTGTGAACTTTGGAATTCAGGTCTGTGAGAAAAGTGTTTTGTAGCACCTGTTTATGTCATTCCTGAAGCAGAAGTAGTCTATAGAAAGATTGGTGTTGGACTAGGTGTATTTTGTCAGTGGTACGTGGATGCTTTTCATTCAGCCCTGGAGACGAAGTTGGGTGGGAGGTAAGGCAGTATGTTACAGTGGAGACATCTGTGGGCGTGACCTGAGTTCTGCTCCCAGATTTGCTGTGCAGCCTCACGCAAGTCAGTTCACCTCTTTTTGCCTCAGTTTCCCCTCCTGAAGAAGATGTCATTGTACTTATCTACCTCACAAGGGTGTTGTGAGGATATAAGGGTCAAATTCTGCATCCATGGTGATTCCCCACCTCATGATAAGGGGTGCAAGGTAGAAGTTATAGAATCACAGAATTCTGGCCAGAGAATTCTGGCCAGAAGATCTGTCCTCTAGCATAGTAGTGTGGGTAGGATATTTAATAGTTTTGTTATTAACATGAATGTTCTTTATAGAACTGGAAAAATACTCACATTTTTGCCTTTAAAAGTGAGGAAAGTATTTATCCACAAAATGACCAGGTGCTTTTCTTAGCAGAAAACTACTTCAAGAATGATTTGATTTTCATGCCTTTATCTTTTGTGCTCTTTCAAGGTGCTGGACACCATAAACTCTCCACTGACTGTTGTTCCCGGGTGCCTACAATGGCACCCTGTCTGTCCACCCAGCTGGCTGTATGTGGTGCAGCCTCATACCTCTTCCAAGGAATGGTGGAGCATGTGGATAAACACTGTTCCACTTGCAGAGTCTAAGGAAGAGGCCCGTTCTAGTGCCAAGAAGTGGTTTGGTCACAGACATTTGTCACCACGTAAAGCTTGTCAACAGTATTTGTTTGAAGAAATTTAAACCAGGAACATTTAAGCACCTTCCGTGCTTTGGCAGTCACCACTTAATGCTGATTTGCATCTGTAGGTATATAAATGCATTTGAGAGAGGGACTTTTCTGCCTTCTGGTGGACTTCACGGTATGAGGACATTTCACCACTGCCAGGTACTTCATGGTGCTTGCTCTTCACTATTGCAAGTAACATACAGTGGAGCTTGCATGGGTGGGTAACGCTGAGCTTGCCTGTCTCAATTCATGCAGATCAAAACTCCTCTAAACCCAGTTTCAGCTAAAAGCCATAGGACAGACACTTCCCTATCCCATTTTCAGAAAGGGATGTTCTGAAAAAGTGCCTTCATCTCCCTAGGGAAGAGTTCCCTCTTGCTGTGCGAGTAGAAAACAAATGTTATTTTCATCAGTGGTCACACAGGGTGATTTATTGACAGGAGTGCCAGGGTAGTACATACGGGGTAATAAAGAACGCTGGTTTTATTGTAACTGTGGTGTATTTGATGTGTCACCTCTCTGTCCTGTTAATAGCAAAAGTTTCTTTCTGAGACACTTTTATGACATCCTGTGATTGATTTGTATTTAAATGGGTGAGTTGCAGAATTAGAGCCTGGCAAATAAAAAATTACTAGAACTGCCTCCTCCCTGGCATGGATTGTTTCCTCTGTAACACAGTGGGCCACTTATTTCTACATTAGCTTCCACTGTAGCATGGTATTGCTCCAGTAAGATCCAGGAGGGTACACATCATAGAGAATCAGTGCAAAGCAGAGATTTGGATACTGCTTTAAGTACCTTCAGACCTATATATCAGTGGTTCCTCCTCTTTCCTCAGCTAAGTGATAACTAAAGTTTTCATCTTTGAAAATGCCCAGGTGGGACCAAATCAGGTGGCATACCCTGCAAGCTGTCTCATTCATTTCAGAGTAAAATATTGTAAGAATCTAAGAAACACAACTAGTTTTTAAGAATTAATCTTGTACAGGCACAAACAGGATTTTCTTCAGCATCAAGTATGCATGTCATCCTGTTCCAGTGCCTTAAGTAAATACACGTGTTAGTTACAATGGGTAGTGCAAGGAGAATTGCTTTGCTACTGGAGCTAGTTTTCATCCCCTTCCAGCATTGCAGGGTAAGTATCATGACAGATACTCATCTTGCATGGCATTTATTTTTCTTCCCACCAAAGGGTTTTTGTTTTAGGTGCAAAAGTTGTGATGGTCCTGAGGTAGTGGCATAAAGGAATCCCTTTGACCCCCACTTTAAAACATGCACCACCAGAGCCAACAGAGAACATGGGAGGATTTCAGTGTGGACCTTGTCAGGATGAGTTACTCAGCCACAATGAACTAGCAAACAATTCCTGTTTTATCGTATGTGGGCAGAGTGTGATTCCTAGTGGTTAATGGGTATGTCAGCTGTCCAGCTGGCATAACAGCAGGCAGTGCTGCCTATAAGGAGCTAAATCAATGCTTTCCTATTTTCTGTTCACTCTCTGTAGAATGTCCTTGACTTTTCCTTTCTTCTCTCAGAATACCAAGTTGCTAATACTGTTTCTGCAAATGTTGAATGTCTCAAATCCACAGAGTCATGATACGGGCTGTTGTTACACAGGCGTGTGTTCCTGCTAGTTCATGTACCTGTGTGCAGACATTCCCACAGAGTACTGGCTATTTGGGAATGGTTACATATGTGTGCATGAGTTCATGAATGACCAAACCACAGGAAGACATACACAGGGAGGACAAAGGTATTTCCTGCCTATGTGTTGAACATCTACATCTGTGGAACGGAGAAGAAAAACCTTTCAGCATTCTCTATATGATCTAGAAGTCACCAAGCTGAAAAAAGCACCCAGACAGAAATAGACTCAAGCTTAATGGGGATGCAAAAGTCATCCCCTTTTCTCTTAAGTATGAGTATGTTCTTCTTTGGCCTACTGTAAAGATCTGTCTGAGCCCTAAATTTGAAGTAGGGCTATGTTACGCAGGTCACCTCTTTGGTTGGTGTTATCCGCTGAATTCAGAGTAGCGGGTGGTTCATTCCGGCTGAGTTCTGATCTCACTTGAACTCAGTCTTTGGTTTATTCAGACTTTGTTTTCCAGCTCAGGTGTGTTACCACTTGAAAGAGCAATAACCTGGTTGTAGCCAAAAAAATATTTGCTGACAATGTGTTGGAATTGGGCAGCTGGTGAAAATCAGCCCAGAAAAAAAAAGATCACTGAATCAGTCCTAGCCAAAATCCAGCAGTGATTCCTTAACACAAAAGCACCTCTTCCTTTTTAGTAATGACATATCATATACCTTTTTATGTACTTCACATCTTTTTTTTTTCCTAAATGTCTGTGCTAAATATGGAAAGAAGTGGGTAGTAGTGAATCCTGAACACTTGGATCAAGTGACAGACAGTTTTCACAATGTTTTCCCAGTGTGGGTGAATAAACATGTGACTTTACAGTGCTCAGTCTGGTTGTGTCACTGTGAGGTCTCCAACACATTTGTGCATTGCCGCACAATCCCAGCAGCCCATTACTGGACACTTGCATGGCTTGGCATTTGTCTGCATGATTTAATGGCAGGATGCTGGTTTTCCTCTGTCTGGAAGAACCATCCCAGTGGCAGCTCTTCTGCATCAGATCAGACCTTCACTTTTATGTATCTTTGCTGGCCCCTTTGTGAAGAGTCTGTGGTATAAAGAGGACTCTGCCATGCGCTACAGACTGCATCTGCTTTGCAAGATGTGACTGAAGACGTTCCTGTCCTCAAGGACACTTGAATCTCCCTGGGCCTGATGGTCTTACACAGTTGTCCATATATACAGCTCCACAGAAGTATTTGCAGAATACCACAACTTGATAGTGCCAATTGCTACAGGTGAATATTAATGACAAAACCAGCACAATGACTAGTAATGTTGTTAGCCAAAGCCTAAAAATAGTTTCTTAGGAAACCTAGTTTCATAACACAATTTCATTTAAATAACCGTGAAAGAAAAGGGGAGAAATTTGTCAAAAATTGGTATTGTAGAGGAGGGGGCTAGTTTTACTGTTTTATTCATTACAAAGATTCATTCTTTACTAAGATTTTGATTTCTAAAACAGCTCTGTTGCTGACCAGTTAGAATTATGAGGGATAGATTTTATACCTCCTCTGGTCTTACTTTATATCCTGCCAAGATTTTTCACCTGCAAAACTGTCAGGAGGCTTTTTCATGGACGTTCATCTGGACAGCCATTAAAATCCAGTTTCTGCTATCAACAGAACACTCAAGGAATAAAAAAGAAAGTTCCTAGAAGGTTGATGAGCATCTTTTGAAGACTTATATCTAGATAGTGCTTACCTAAAGATTGCTTAAAGATTTTCTGGACTCAGCATTTTACACCACTGTCTTGTAGCT